TGAAAAAATTTACTTACAATCTAAAAGTTTACCATGGTACACTGCCATGCCAGCTATTCTACCAATGAATTTGAAGTACGATAAATGGTCTTCATTGCAGACACCAGAAGCAGGATTGATTTGAAGCGTGTAATTATCACTTTAAAAAGAAGTTTATACAAAAATATATATAAAACTTAATGATTAAAAAAACAAACAGTATCATAATTTAAACTAGATCACAAATTTTTAGGAATTTTAGGTTAGACAAAAATTTCTTTCAATTTATTTAAGTATAAATTTTAAAATCCATAATATGATAAAAACATTTTAATATACTTACACGGCTGAATATTCAAATAAACCATAATATGGATTGAACATTTCCTTAGACAAGAGAAAAAATAATTCTCTAGATGCACCACCATAATCTAGAACTTCTTCACCATCAAATTCTACCCACAGCTTTGAGCGAAGTAGGTCAACTCGAGTCACAGAACTAATAATGCGATAGCAGTCTTCAAGAATGTTGGCACGACTAACTTTTATCTCAAACTTTCCAGAAACATTCGTCTGTAAAAAAAAAAAAAAGAAAATGAAAATTGCTATTATAAAAGCAATACTGAAAACAGATGAATACGATAGGATAAATGGTTGAACTACCTTAAATAAATAAAAATATGAAAAGACAGCAAACTTCTTAATTTTGCAACTTCTAAAATTGGCACATTGGTGAAATCACTCATATCGGTACATACTGAATGGTATCTAATACACAAAAGATGAGAGCGATTAATTTACTATAGCAAAATGGTTCACTAGTGCCACAGTACACTTTTATCATCACCATATACATTATAAATGATGTTACAAATGCCTCCTGTGAATGCTATGACTTCGGAGAAATTATATGATTAGATTACAATTTTTAGTTCCAGGGATATATCTCCATATTATTTTGTTAAATGTAATAAACAGATTGTTTTCATGATAAATACATCTGAAGACAGCACATATCAATGAAACAATGCTTTACTAATTCAGAAGTCAAACAACAAAAATCAGCGTAAAACTCAGGCAGGTACATGGAAGGTCTAATCTTTCAAGTAAATTATTTCTTTTGCAAAAGCTTTACAGTTTGAAGCTTGAAGAAGACGGAAATATGCAAACACATATAAATACATTACTGGAGTTTCGATAAATGAAATCAATAGGTGAGAACATAAAGACAAACACGTTTCGGCACTTTTGCTTTGTTCAAAGCCTAGTTCTTACGGTACGCTCATACGGCTCTTGAAGCCGAGCAGAATCGGACTGAATCGAGAATTCTTAAAAAAAGAAATTAATTCACGAATTTAACAAGAGAGTTGAAAATAAATTCATCAGATTCAAAGGCATTTAAAGCCTCCTTTCAAAACAAGACAAAGAGAGAAAAGTTTTGCTCATATTGTCATAAAGATAACCATTTTAGATCAGAGTGTTATCATCTAAAATCGAAACAAAAATATGAAAAGCGCCAAAACTCAAAGAAAACATATGCGAATTCTAAAACACGCCAAGCAAAGAATGTGGGTAACCTCGCGATGAATCAACAGCAAACAAAAATTAAAACACCGGAAATCGAATCCAGATGTGGCAAGCTCTGTTACTAACTCACCGTACATCAATCATCCAAGAGTTTTTTATTTTAGCGGAGCAGTAGCCACCTGGTAAATAATAAGAAAATTTCATGGAATGTAAACCCATAAATCCGTCAGAATTAAACTGCGAAGGGAAATGTATTAAAATCAAGGCGATAGGAACTGCATTAAACACTTAAATGCTAAACAAAAATAACTGAAGTTCTCTTATCGGAAGTTATACACTCTGACTAGAACGAATAATCTCAATTAAGAAAAATAACGGGAAAAAGGACTTTCGCGTTCTGTTGAAGGAAATAAAGTATGACTGAAGGGAGATCAGATTATTCTAGAATGTATGCAAATAACAATCTTACAATTAACAAATAGACAGGAATAAGGAACCATCAGCTCATGTAGCATCTAGTGCAAAAATGAGACTGTGTCAACTTGGATAGACGCCTTGGCACAGAAAAAGATGACCAATCAACAACTTGTTAAAAAGAACTCGCTGAAGGAATGAATTAGAATTGTAAACAGATACCAATGCATTCATGCATAAAATGTAACTAACTGATTTCCGTATCCCAAGAATCGAATTCAGGCCACCTAACTGCTAGAAATCGTTCACACTGATGTTTTAGACAGTACAACATCGTCTGTCAGGGTACCTATACTTCATAACTTTTTTGATATTACAGCAGGGCCACAATGATATCTATGGAAAAAGAAAAAGAAGTAATTCTAAATAAAACAATTAATTGCTCTACAAAAATAAAATTGGAGAAAGTAAAATGCTAGAAGTGATATCAGTGGTGAGACACGTAAGGAACTTGAAGAATACCTTAAAACATGGTTATAATCACCAGTTTACTGTACCGTATTGTCCAGCACAAAATGGAGTCAGCGAACGCAAAAATAGGTCTTTGATGGAGATGACAAGATGTCTTTTAGCTGACTCAGGTTAACCTCACAGATACTGGGCCAAAGCAGTGTGACTGCAAATATTTACAGAATCGTATGCATACAAACCAAATGCAAAAACTCCATACGAATTATGGAATAACAAGAAAACTAACCTCTCTCATCTGAGGACTTTTGGGTGCAAGGCTTTTGCTTACATCCATAAATCTAAAAGAGGTAAACTGGATGAAACTGCTATAGAAGGAATACTCGTCGGCTACGACAGCAGAAGTAAAGGCTACAGAATTTTAATTCCTGGAGACAAAATTATAATAAGTCGATCTGTACGATTTATTGAAGACACTGGAACTGACGAGCCTGTAAGCATCTATTTAAACCAGGATGAAGAAAATTCTAAGGAAGAAAGCTCAGAACGGGGAAGAAATAAAATTGAACACCGAAGAGGAAGAAATATCAGAACACGAAGAAGACCTTGGAACTCAGAAGATCGAACAGACTCACAAAAAGTAAACCCCTGATCCTACGGATTCCATGCCAAATCCAATCTCCTCGAAACCAAAACTTGGAAGGAAAGTTTGGAAGAAAATGAAAAAGAAAAGCTAACAGCTGCGAGAGAATAATCATAGAAGAAAAAACACTGGAATAGTGATTTACCAAAGAAGAAACAATAGGATGAAATGTCTTCAGCAAGTTAATGCAGAGGAAAATTAAAGATGCAAAGCCGATATCGCAAAGGTTTACCGTAATGCCGCATATACGTCGAGATATTTTGGACAAAAAAAAGACTTCAAAGTGGGGGGGGGTTCGACTTATACGCGGGGCCATAAAAAATTAAAAGAATCGGAAGTTCAAAAATTTCTTTATATAATGCAGTTGTTTTCTTCCCGCACTCAAATTGGACGACTTATCAAATAAGTCACTTACTTGAAGTAATTTCATGACTTAAATTATGTGACGAACTAATCACAGAGTTTCATACTTTAACTAGAGTAAGTTTCGATTAAACCAAAGAATTTTCGGCCCCCGAACAACCGATCAATATCGAGCAATAAAAAAGTTTCGCCAACACGCCAAGAAAAGAGAAATGCAGATAGTTTTTACGTACGTATAAGTCTTTATAATAGTTATTGTTCATTCATGAAATACTTTTGTTAAACAGGCGTACACGTCAAAATTTAAAAAAAATAGCCCACGCAATAACTGAACAGTTTTGAATATTTCTTTTAACTTTTAAAAAGGGAAAATGCAGATAGATTTTACGTACGCGAATCTTTTCCGGAACAAATTCTAGAAGGTTACTATATACGATCATTTTTTCCCAATTATCCTGCGTTTTGGATATGTTGGCGACGCTTTTGCCTGCTGGATGCTGATTGGTTGTTCGGGGGCAGAAAACTCTTCGGTTTAACGTCCAGATTCGACGGATTCTTTGATAGAATCACGTGCCCCACTGTTAAATCTTACTCGCTCTTGTCAGTACGTTTTTGTTTCCCTTCTTGTTTCTGTTGATATGGCTGATTTATTGGTAGTTAAACAGAACGTCAGTCATACGCTGCTGGATTTAAGTTAAAAGTTATTTCTTTTGCGGAAGAGACTAATAACTGTGCTGCTTCTCGTCAGTTTGGGGTTGACGAAAAATTGATTCGCGATTGGCGCAAGAATAAAGTAAAGTTACAAAAAAATCCTGAAATCGAAAAGAAGGCGTCGCAACATGGAAAAGCTCCTTTCCCAGAACTCTTAAAAACTCAAGAACTCAAACTAAATGACTTGTATGCTTGGGTTTTAGAGTGCCGGCAGAATGGTTTCATTGTCACTAGAACTGGCATACGTTTACGAGCAATGAAGCTTGCAAAAGAAGAAAAGTATGGTGTTCCAAACACGTTACAATACAGAGTTCGAGACTGAAAATATGTATGATGACGAGCCAATGACGACAGAAGAGTTCTATGAAATGTTTGGCGAATCTGACCATGAATCGGACGTTGAAGGATTTTGATTTTGTTTATTTACCAAGGTATTTTTTATCGTATATTTACTTTTTTTTCTCAGATGATTTTGAATAAATGTAGTACTTCAAAAAAAATTTTCGAAGTTTCTCGATCGATTTCGGAAGTGGGGGGTCGACTTATACGCGGGTTTCTTATTTTCTACGAATTTTTTATGTCGAAGTGGGGGGTCGACTTATACGCGGTATCGACTTATACGCGGGTATATACGGTACCTTAATAAATTAAAGAATAAATTCAGTTTAAATTGCTGAATTAAAGGCAAGGAAATTATTATAAATAACTGATATTAAATATAACGTTTATGAACAAAATAAAAAAAAATGAAATGAAACAGAAACAAACGCATTAAGCACAAACAAATTTCGGTAGTATTGCAATTGTAAACAGTCGCTTACACTTACATGAGAAACTGAGTTGTGTAGGGTTGCTTATTGCCCCGTAGTCGCCAGTATTTCTTCCCACGCCAATGGTACACTACTTAACATGCACAGTAAGTGAAATTCGTTAACATTATTCAACTCAATGGGCGATTTGCCATTACGCAAACGGATACAGCAGTTTTATTTTTTAAAAAAAAGTCTTGATTTTGATTATTGGTCTCGTTTATTGTTTAAATGATCTTTTGAGTGTAAAACAAACAGAAGATTAGACAAATATATCATATTCCTGAGAGTTTTGTCGACGTAATAATTCCCACAGCAAGCAAGAGGAGAAAAATATCCTACTCGCCTTTTCCTGGGCGATGTGCGGAATATAATTTTAAGCTATGTGATTGTAATAGGTTCGAAAAAGGTTGTGGCGGACTGTGACTGACCAATAATGTCCAAGTGAGGTGCGGTTGCGTCAGGAAACGGCATTTGATTAATAATTAGGTCTGAAATTAAAGGGGAATGGTATTGTCAAAAAGGGAGAGAGCCTTTTTGGGGGTTAGCTTTGACTTGCTTTGATCTGGATGAAGAGCTTAGCAAAAATGAAGAAGGGGGGGGAAAGGAGAAATTACGGATGGTGACTAGTATAATTCTTTGTAGTTTTCGAAACGGAAATTGAATTTATGGGAGGTCACTTGGATTTGACTGATCTATAAGGATTTCTGTTCATGGTGATGAAAATTTACGTTTAAGATGAAATGTTCCGGGTTGCATGCCTTTAAGTAAAGACTGAGCGGTAGAAGTTCCTGCCATACACTGATGAAGTTTTTCAATTTTCTGACATGTAAGAAAAGATTGAGTTTTACATTAATTAACAGGTTACATTACATGACATATAAGAAGAGACTGAGTGTTACGTTAATTGACTGAGAATCCGGTAAACAAACAAGCTTACACGAATCTGAAGGGTAACACACGGAGGATTCGCCTGCGGATCAGTTAACGTAACCTGTCAATTAATGTAACACTCGGTCTCTTCTTATATGTCATATAATAGTTGTAAAATCACCTTAGTTGACCCATCCTTCACCTTAGTTGTAAAATCGATTATGCAAATTTGAATTTTTTTACATGCCAGTATTTATTTAAGAGTTTCTTCTCTAGATTAGGTTTTAAAAAATTATTATGTAAACTAGGTATTAAAATGTTAATACTTATTCGAGAACGTAGTTTCGAGATTAAGCTAATAATTTTATTTGTACCTTTTGAGGGATCGTAATATGTTATTATGGTACTTGAGGACTTTTAAATAGGGGGAAATGAATGTTTCCGTAGCTAGGATTGTGTGTTTATTTGGGATTATGTTTCTGTCCACGACAGACGCAGTTAAAGAATTGTAAATTGTGTAACTCAATAGTGTGAAATAGGATCATACCCATTTCTAAAAAATAATATTTTTGAGAGTTCTGTATAAACACCGAAAGCCAAAAATGAAATTTTTGAGGATTTGGCTCTCATTAAATTTGTAATAAAAGTAAAAATATTATTATTACAGTTTTTAATAAAATAGACTCGATATTTTACAGTTTAAAAATGTGTATTTCAGTGTAGAGGAGAATATTAAGCCATACAATAAGAAAATAAGTTTTTAAAACTATCTGGCAAACAGAGTTACTATATAGTATTAAAACTAAGGCTGTGTCTATTTCCCGGCTTAAATAAATTCTTCTTCTTTCTATCTTCATTGTTTCGCTCACAGTTTATTCCGAAGTAATTTAAACTGTAAGAATTTTACCTCACAATGTCCTTCTCGTTTCCCATTTTCCTACCAGAATGCAAATTTCTAGCTCGCCTACATTCAAACGAAACAGAAAGGAGACAGTACTTAGAGGAAGATTTTAGAGGCTAGAATCAAAGCATGTTCCGTCTGCTGAAAGCCACGTTGTTAATTTGATTCCTTTGATTCTGCGGCGTTGCGTTATTCTCGCCATTAGGTTTGTCACGCTGACTTTAGATCAGAACCAACTTGTGCGTTTATCCATCTGTGTAGCCCTTGGGCTAACTTACATGCACTTAGCTTAAGCAAATTCGTTATCTTTGATCCAAGTTATAAATGCTGGATATTCTATAAGCACAAGTGGTGCCTTCTGTTAACATTTATTTGAGTTAAATTGAAGGATCCTTTACATCTTCTCTCAGTCTCTGTGGTACTTTACAAGACATACTAATAATTCGCTGAAGTCTTAGAAGTTTCGCGCATTTTATGCTATCGAAGAAGATTAAACTTCATAAACGCAAATACAAATCTAAAAATTAGCTACGCGTCAAAAATGCATAAATCAGCCAAAGTACAAGAAGCTGAAATTAGCCGATGCACACAAACATGAGTCCGATGGGCAAAAGGACCTTTCATTTTGGCATAACGAGTACTTTTAGTAAAAAGACAGCAGGAATTACTACAAAATCCTTCACTTTAGGCACAACGAGTACTTTTGGTAAAAAGACGGCAGGAACCACTACAAAATCCTCCACTTTAGGCTTAGCAGTACATATAACAGAATTTTTAGTACTAAGAAAAATAGTTTCATATACTTCAAAAGAAGACTAAATTAAACATATATAATTGTTTGCACGTTGAATGCACAAGATTTCTGCCATTTACATGCAAGCTGCCATATATAACCCAACTGCAAGGCATCAATCTTATAAATATGCAGCGAACAATAAAACGCAGTTTTCCAAATACATGCAACATGAAGCTTTTTCGAATGTTAAATAAAACTCATGCAATCTTTTTCACGTTAAATATGCAAAACTCCAAGTATT